AGCCCCAGCTGTCCTGGCACTCACTATGTAGACCAGGCTGGCCTTGAACTCACAGAGATCCACCTGTCTCCGCCTCCCAAGTGCTGGGACTACAGGTGTGCACCACCACACCCGACACTCTTGTAACTATTCTGAGAAGAGAATTGTGAATTTGTTCTTGAGCTGTTTAGACAGTGAGCACTAGAGAAACACGTCCATTCTGCTGCCATTCTTCCTCATCGTTCATGCCACACAGTGGAGCATGCTAGACCATGACTTCAGATCTAATTGCCTGCAAAGTCACCAAAGTGTTACATTCATTCCAGTGTCTCAAAAGCTCCCCCATGTGCACACATGAAAAATAGCTCATCAGAGGAAAAGGTATTGGAATGAATGGGAACAGGGGCCAATTTTCAGATTTCAAAAAAGAATGTGCTAAGCTATAAGAAGACGCTATCATAATTATTTTATTTTCACGTCATACTAAAGTCCAAAAGAAAAATGTATTTAAGTTGGTTATATTATATCATTACACATCATGCACATACATCATCACCTGAAAAATATTTGTTTTTCTGTAAGAATTTTTCTTAAGGCAAACAAGAAAAGAACTGGATTTGTTCCAACCATAAGTACACTCAAAAAGGAAAGACAGGCCATCTGAATACAACATAACCAACTGATTTATGTGTTTGAGTCCAAGAAATAGATTATATAAAAATAAACCAAAGCATTTGTTGTACTTTCCAGAAAGTATTTGCCTAATGGAAATGTTTTCCAATTTCTCTATTTTGAACATTTATCTTTCCCTTAGAGAAAAACATACTACGACGAAGACTGCTGTACAATTCAGCGACTCTCAAGCCTAAAGGAGGTTCCCATGATATTAAAATAAAGGCTAATCTCAAAGATTTTCTATTCCGACCTCCCTATTTTACAAATCAGTAAGTGAACGCAAAATGAGTGAACTGTAGAACTCCACAGAGAAGCTGAGAAAAGATTTTCCTTCTGGTTTGTGATTCACTCAGTTTTCCATTTTCAATAATAGTAAGAAGTAATAAACAAGAAAGACACCCAGAAGCGCCGCAATACTAAAGCATACTGAGATACAAGGAGACACCATAAATATTATAAACTCTTTGTTAAGTATACTTTTAAGTACATATAAATTATATGCTGAATATAAATTAACTCAGTTAGTACTAGAATAACACTCTGAGATTATATTATTTTCCCATTTTATAAGTGAGGAATCTCAGGCACAGTAAAGAAAAGTACATAAACCAAGTATCATAAATAATAAATTGTGGAACAGCAATACTAGCCAACCAGTTTAACTCTGGACATAGAAGTCTCCTGCTTCCACTTCCCAAGTTCAGAGGCTATAAGTATGTGATACCATATCCTGAATTTACACCAATCCATAGCCATAAATAACCTGGTATGATACAGAAAGTAGAATTCTTATTCAAAATTCAAAGGAGCATCAGGCATGGGATTAAAGCTTATTCTTTAAGCAACATAAAATTAAAATCGTTGATAATTAAAACATAAATAAAAACCAACTCTAAAAATAAACCAACCAACCAATAAACCAAGGAAAATCCTTGCTCAATTAGTAGAGCATATTTAAAGCTTTTTAATTATCCAGTTTCATACAAATCATCTAAATAGAGGGCAGCATTCTTTGGTGTGCCAACTAAATCATGCTTATCTATAATTAGAAATTATTCTTATCTATCCATAAAACAATCCCTTTTCTAGGCAATTCTTGATTAGCCTATTTTCCAAGTAAGAAAGCCAAGTTTCTTATGGAGGAAAACACTCCTGCTTCTCTAACTGGTTCAAATTAACATGAAATTCCTAAAGACATCAGAAGCCAACCAACTTCCAAATCCAAATCTCACCTTGCCAAACCTCTCTGCAGCCTTTCACCAATTGTTTTCTCTCTCCTCCTGACACTTGCCCTCTTGTGATGTCCATGGTATCATTTCCTGGGCCCCGCCCAGTCTTTCAGACCACACGTCCCTTCAGCAGTTTCTGCCTTATACATTGACTTCTAACAGCTGCAAACTCCAGAGTTCTGTCCTTATTGGGTTCTGCTTCTCCCCATTCCCAGTGTGAGTAAGCATAACCATACCCACAACTACTATGAATACTTAGGAGCTAATGTCCAGCTTCCAAACACAGATCTCCAACCTAGCTCTCTCCCTCCCCTAAGTTCCGCATTGCTCACAGCACTACTTCCCCTCAGGATCATCAAATCAAAATCCCTTGAATTTTACCAAAAATCCTAATTTTTTTTAAATTTTGCTTAATAGATTCTCCCAAACCTATACCTCAGCTCATCTAAGATTCTTTCAGTCCTTCTCAGAATAAACCCAACTCTATCATGTCTATGAACTGTGCTTTATGAATTGCTGTCAAGTCTTCCACTCTCTCTTCCATTTTCATGGGCACCACCTTCATTGCTGTGTTCCTCCCAATGTCAAAAGCCTGTTTTACTCTGGGTTCCACCAGAACTACATCCTGAGTTTAAAAATCAAGAGCAAATAGTTTATGAGACGTGATCCCAGAAAGTAAATGTGGAATCTGGCAAGGATGAGAAGGAAGCCAGCACTGGTGTGTAAATGACTGGATAACTGCAGTGCACAGTGGGGTTCAATCGCCTGGGGATATTCATACCAAACTGAGTAAAGAATCAGACACATGGCTCTTTCTTTGATGGAGAGCTGCTCCCTGGGTATTAACTCCTGACTTGTCAGGCTTACCTCATTGTAGTCCCATAAGCTTGTAGTTACTGTAACTTCTAGCTGCTGTCTTGTACAAAAACACTAATTGCTAAGCACCTCCCACAAAACCCTTCTAAGCTTCACATATGCTTTAGATAAAACTACTACTCTGCTCTCCCTTGTTTTCTTCTCATTGTTATTTCCCAGGCTTCCTGGTCTAATGTTTAAGTTCTCTAGTGCCATCAATCTACCAAAAGTGCATAATGTCATTGCCACCTCTATGTTTGATGTTTACCATCCTTGTTTCCCAGAATCTCAATCCACTACCCAACCCTATTCTCATCTCACTGGAGTACCCCAATTTCTGACATGATAGAGTGCTCTAGCATCTTCCTCTCTAAAGGATTCCCTCAATTCTTAGCATTTCCATCTTTTCATTCTTTCTGTCTTCCCTATCAAATAGCACAGGAGTGATTTGTACACATACCAAGCCACCAGAGTGTGACCCCTGACAAGCCACGATTGTGCTTTCTGATTCTCCAACATCAAACACAAAGCAGGGAGAAGAAAACCTGGACAAGCACCACAGAATTCCTGAGAAGTCTATATGCTGTGTAAAACAAATAATGCAGTTGTGCAGTTGACATGGTTAGAAAGGCTAGACCAAAAAGAACCATTTGAAAAAATGCTACTTAGCACTTTTCTCCTTGACTTATGGACTATAAATCAATTTCGTCCACTCTCCTGCAGCTTCTTAAGCTATGTCCTTCTTTACTGGCACACTTTTCTTTCAAGGTATCTAATACTTCTAATACTTAAGAGACACTGAGAACAGTGAGGGAGCCCTGAGAACAAACCCTCATAAAATAAAGCACTCACATATTGTATGACCACATTTCAACTTCTCAAACTCAGGGTCTCTCATACGTAGAACACTAAGCTACCTTCACATTGAACCCAAGTAGATACCCCTACAAAAGTGAGGATAATTACCCTCTTGAAGCTTGCTTATAGGCACCACAAGGTCACCTGCTTCTGTCCCCTTCCAGGGGACTTTGGCCAGCTTCAGTGCTGATGGGCAGAAAGTCAATGTAGCATAGACAGGTGGGGGAGCCCTGTTGTGACAGGATTCATCACAAGTCATGTATTTACGTGCAAATTACCCAAAACTGAATAATGATTAAATTCAGATTCTGGAGATTTTTTTTTTTGAGGCAAAAGAGGATGAAAAAGGAAAGAGAAGTAATAAGCTATATTTCTAAAGACTACGTGGTTTATCCAAAATTGGCTCCACTTACACTGAAAACTAAATATACTTAGAGACATCTTTGATCAGGAATCTTGTGGCAAAAATCTGTACTGAGCAAATGTTGAGGTTTCACAGTTCATTGATCACTGTCACCTTGTTTGGTGAGATCTAAATTGCCCTCAGTGCATGCTAATGTGGTCTGCTCTTTCTCGCCTGCTCCCTCCCCTTCTTTATAGTTTCACAGTGTGAAGGAGAAACAACCACTGTGGACCTTCCTTGTTGAAAGTCTTAACATTGGATGTTGCCTCTCATCACCTGTGCTTTGGGTTCTGCCCTCACCAGCACAGAGATCCTTTAATCTGAGATGGTGGAAATCTACAAATACAGTAACAAGAACAAGACAATCTGTTACAGCTGAAAGCAAAGAAGGAAACTTGGAACACACTGCTCCTACGTCAGGTCTGCAGTGTGTGTTTTATTTCATATTTTCAGACCCACTGCAGGCAGCCAAGTAGTTGCTATTCAAAATGTTTTGTTGACCTCATAAAGAACAATGTAAATAGACTTTCTAGCCCAATGACGCCAATGCTAAAGCTAGTGTATGTGCTTTCATATTTTGTGGGTTATTTGTGTATACTGTTTCCAATTCCTGTGCCCATGGGCAATTCTGCTTCGGTGTAAACTGATGTCAATCATTGCAGGCTACTTTTATAGTCAGTTAGTTCCTCCAAACTGACTATAAAAGTAAGGTTAACAGGGGTTGAAAAGGTGTCTTGGGAGTCTGTACAGAATTCCATTTTCCATTCCTATAGTCCTTGATTTTCTTCTCCTGGAGCACATACTTCAGGGTTGTTTTATGGGAAGAACCTTTTCCTTAAAGAGGGGGATACCTACTCAAGCAGTCCACAGTGGATAATAACAGCTAACAATTGATTCAACAAATATTCTTCAAGTATCTCAGGGCAAGTAATGACTTTTCCAAGTATGTTCTTACTTCCTTCTTTGTTTCCTTCCTTCTTTTCCTTTCTCTTTAAATATATATTTTATTGAATCTTCATGGATTTCATATAATACATCTTAATCATATTTAGCTCCCCCCTCCCTATCTGTGTGGGTCTTATGCCTGATCTCACTGTTGCTGTCAGTTCATGTGAGTGAGGTCCCAAGAGCCTATAAGATGCCTTCTGTATGGTCATATACCTCCTCCCCTGGCTCTTACACTCTTTCTGCCCCCTCTTCCACAATGGTCCATAAGTCCTGGGTGGATGAAGTTTAATATAGGAGTCCTGTCCAGGGACCCTCATTCTACAGACTCTTTTTTCACATTTTTATTGAATTTTTGTGCATTTCATACTGAACATCTTAATCATCTTTATACCTTTTCCCCATTGGCACCCTCTCATAGCCCTCAAACTGGATTTCATGTATTCTGTCATTTATGTTAAGGTTTATTGAGTCAAGTTAGTATCCCCAGACATCCTTCAGAGCAAGTTCATCCACTAGGGTCTGCTCAGCCTAGAGTCCCTCCCTTAAAGAAGATCAGTGTTCCCTCACCCAGGAGTGATCAGCTGCTTTATATTTTATCAGCTGATTTATATTATATATATCTGAAATAGGAAATCATGATCATTTACACCTGACACCTAACCTTCTTCTTACCTGTCATTTAAAGAGCCCTTTTATTGCAATTGCCCTTGTATATAGCAAGCCATCTCAAAATTCATTAGTTTAAAATACCGACACCATTTTGTTTCCCTACAAATCTATAGACACTGTTCATCACTGCTCTGTTTAATATCAGTCCTATCAAGTGACAGGGGGACTCTGTGTCCTAGATGATGCCTGAAGAAGGCTGGCTGTTGGTTTCCATGTGGGCCTTTCTGTGGTGTAGGCACAGCTTCCTCAGAATGTGGGGCCTGAGTTCCAAGAGTAACAGAAAACAAAGTGGAGGCTACTGATTTCTTAAGGCCTGCATGCAGAACCCGACACAGTATCTTTCTTTAGTCAGTCAATCATATGAGGATTCGGGGGAATGGTCCCTAGAGTTTGATGGGAAGAGTATTAGAGGACTTTGAGGCCATATTTTCAAACTGTCACATATGTCTGGACACATGCTTTTTTTCCCTGTGCTTAACTCCATTACTGGCCCCCAACCCTTTCACACTCCCTCTTTATAGTGGGAGAACCAAACTGACATTTCTCTATTTCCCACTACCCAGGGCAAGTCTGGTCCAAGATCTTCTTGCCAATTAGCCTGCCCTTATCTGGTTACATCTGGTTCCTTCCAGCTCTACCTGTCCAACTCCCAAAATGTCCTTCCTTCTCCCTCTGCTAGTCACATGAAGCATTCCATGTGCCCTGCTTGTTTACAGAAATCTATCCAATTACATTGAGGGGGATGGGTGTTGTAGTTGTGACTTCTGCCTGAAGATGGTGAGGTAACAGTTACTAAGGAATTTATTAAAAACATGAACAATGTAAGTCAAGAAGGGGCTGACCTTTTCTCACATGGCCTTATGAACTGCAGGTAGAGTTTAGAGCATCGTGTATTCTGCCCGTTCCCCATCATCCGCCAGCTAACCACCATCTCAACCTTGCCATAGTAAAAATTTTGTGAGTAAAAATTTTCAAGGAAATGTCAAACGGGACTTAACTTTATTGGCACCACTTCCCTCATTCACCTTATTAATTCAAATGACTGATCCATAAAATTGGTTCTCAGCACCGAAACCTGACACTCTGCCTCTGACTCCCTCAGGCAGACTTTTTGGGCAGCCGTCTGCTTTTTTTCCTGCAGTAGCTATAAAGGAGGAAAGTTCCATGGCCAGGCCTGAGGGGCCTGAGCTGCTATTGAGAAGCCCAGCCTCAAGACTTGGAAGGTTTTCCTCATGCTTACCTGGCCACTATCCCTCATCCATCAGCACATCATAACCCCTGTGCTCAGAGCCCCTGCATTACCTCTGTTTGCAACATCTCATAGAAAACCATGCAGCTGCTTTCCTCCTCCCTGGCAAGAGTTTACACCACATCTCACCTCTTCTCCCTACAGTTTCCTCATCACTTACCACTAATATTTGATATATTTTGCTTATTTGTCTCCCATCA